TGTGTAACAGTGTATTGTTAAAGCCCTGCAGAGACAAAAATTGAATTTTAGCTTTACTTAAAAAAAAAAACAAAAACACAACAAAAAAACCCCACCAAACAAACAAACAAACCCCAAAAAATCAAATCAAACAAAAATTCCAAACAAACACCAAGAAACCAAAGCCTGTTGCAAAACAGTTTTGGCTTGGGGTGCAAAATTGGCCTCAAGTTACCTGCAGAGAAAGAGAGGTACAGAGCCTCTTCATGCATCCATGAGGGACCAGACTTAGTACAGCTGCTTCATGCACTTAGGTACGAGTAGTGTCTTATTCTTTTCTGTTATGTAAAACAAGAGCAGCAGTAATAGATTTGAGTTTTAAATCTATCTCAGACTCAACTAAGTCTGAATCTACAGTTTCTCTTCCCAGAAAGGGTCCCTAAGCTCTGAAGGTGAAAAATGAAAAGAAGTCAATAGAGAACACTTTGCTCCTGAAGCAACACCATTCTCTTGTTGGAAGAGCAGGGGTGGGATGAGAAGAGCCTGTCCAGGGAGCCCTGGCCTGTTCAGGCATTGTTTATTTGGCAGATTCTGACATAGGAAGAATCCCCAGAACTAGGATCAGGATTTATTATCTTCCAGTGTCAAAAAGTGTTGTCATTGGTGACAAATACATGTCTTCTGCTTTGCTAACATGATAGGGCCAGTGCAGCTGAATGGATGTGTCAAATTCTTCCTGGTGCATCCTCTGCAGAAGTGTTTGCTGGATCCATCAGGTACATTTGTCTGACAGCAGCTTTTGTGCAGATATGGGATATAACCAGTATCCTAATTTGGTCCTGGCTTTCGTTAGTGCAGCTGGATGGGGAGAAAAGGCCTGGTTCAATACTCATGTTCCAGGTGAAGTTGGCAGGTATAAGGACACATCTTACTTGCAGGCTGAGCAAAAGTTAAGTCTGGAAATCTCTGAAGCATGATGAATGAATTCCAAGAATTGTGTTTACAGATACTTTTCGAATTAAAGCTGCCTGACTTTCCCATTCATAAAAATAACAATGTTCATTCTTTAGTAACGTGGAGCTCATCCTATTATCACATTTTCAGCAGTGAATGATATATGAGATTATATAGTTTAATACAAAAATGTTTCCTGTCATGACTGTTTTTAGAAAAATAAAATTATCTATGCCAAACAGAAAGATGATATAATTACAGTGAAGACTATATTTATCACTGGAAGTCCTTCACATATTCAAGTATAGAGACCAGGATTAAATAAAGTGTGGAGGATTGTGTACAAAAGGGATTTGTGGACTAGAGTTATTTATTTAGTACCCAAAATTCAATAACCATTCTATAAGAACAGAGCAAAGCACGAATCTTTTCCTAGAGCTATTAAAATCTAAAGTCTGAGTTGTGGAGACACCTCGTAGTGTGGAATCTCATGAGACCTGATCCTCTGTTTATATAAGCCACCACATCCTCAGTTCTGGTAAGCTGAGGATCATGCTCTAAAGATTTAGTCATGAGAACAGACATTCCAGGGTAAAGGGCTCTAAACTGGACAGCCTTTGGACTTTTAGGCTCCCTAGCTCTGTGTATGGAACATCAGCATTTCCTGACAGTGCACTTTTCTCTTTGTAGTGCGGTGCATCTGGGTTGATATCAAAGAGCCTTATGAAAGAAATGCTTATGGGAGCCCAGTGCAGTTCTTGCTCGTGCTGACAGAAGGGTCAGGCAAACAGAAGAGAAAAAGCCATGCAGAAACACAAAATCAGCTTCAGGAGGGACTTTTTGGAGGTTTCTTTTTTTTCCATGTATCTGGAAGAACGAAAGCCTATGCAGAGACACTTCTACTGGTGAAGCAGTTGTCCTTTTTGCCATTTGTGATTCCAGTCAGGAATTTACTGATAGAAACATGTGCACTAGATGGGTTGGTGGTGGAGCTGTAACAGTGAGCTGTGTCTACTGCAGATTAGGCTTGTATTCCACAGGTTTCCCTGTGGGTTGCAGGGCTGCCCAGAACTTTCCTGGCACTGTGACCACACTCTGTATGTCTTTCCTGAGCCCTCTGGCAGATTAGGGTTGTTTCTGTAGTTGTACCTGAGGCAGGAAAATGCTTCTGTAACCAGAAATGGGGCCTTTATGAGCTGTTTCCTGGCACCCATAAAGGTATATCTTGAAAATGAGATTTTTCTACTGTTTAAAATGGCTGACTCTGGACAATTTTGAATTGATGTTTTCCCTCTGCTAATATGTCATGGCATCCTAGGAATCATAAACTGCCTAAAGAATTTGCACCAGGACATGTACTAAGGGGATTCTGAAGCTGGGTATCCTGATTCTCTGTTTCTTCTTCTGAAATTTGTTCTCAGCATCATTTTAGCAAAGCAGAGGGAAGAAGCTGCCCAAACCCTCCACTGAGGTTCTGTTCACTGTCAGGTTTCCAAGCCATTAGCAGTACTAAAAGCCTGTAAAGGACTTTTTGTTCCAGCAGACTTGGTGCACAGATGTTGTGTCCGGGTTCTTCTGTAATGGCCATACAACCATTTTGAAGCAGTATACACCAGTGTTCCATTTCCTCCATCTGGGCACTTGCAATCCTTAGACTTATTGCAAAACTCCCCTATATTCCTGAGGATCTGGATCTGGCCCTGTGCATACTTATCTGTGCTGAGGTGAACCCCACTGGCTGCAGAGAGAAGCTCCAGAACCTCAGTTAATACTCAAAATTTGGCCCAATGATACTTGTTTAGGAATGAGCCAGCAAGTTGGATTCACTTAGAATCAGTTTTATTGCCAGGTAAGAAATTCATATTAATATAGTGAATACATATGTTTACAAATAAACATTCTTAAAAAACAAACAAACATTTTATTGTAGGAAGTATTATTGGTATCATAAACTCTGTAGTTAACAAGTATTAACACGGGTTTACTTACAGAACATACAGTTACTAAAATATTTCCACATAAAATATGCTCAAGTTACACGAAACCTGTGTGAATTAGAGTGCAGCTGTAATGTGTATCTAAAGCATATGGATTAACAGCAACATTCCATAAAGGGTCAAATTAAGTCAGCCAGTTGTGAAGGCAATAAAGATTAAAGGAATAAAAGTAAGATAGTGGAGAATCTGGGTTGTGTGCAAAGTATTTGTCTTGTGGGCTTTGTCCACTTCTGATAGTCTTAAAACATAGGATCATAAAATTTAGCAGCACGCTTGTGGAGAGATACCGGTGCTCTCAGGATGCAAATCAATCTCAATATAGCTAAAAAAAAGGTATCTCCATTTAACCAGATTTCAAATTCTTAGCCCTTGCATCCTTGACTAAGAAGAAGCACTGACAGTCAGTTGAACACAGTAAGAAACGCCTCTTCCAATTCTTCTTACAGCATAGCAGTTCTTACTCCTCCCTGCAAGCTCTTCCAAAACGAATCTCCTGAAGGACTGACAGCTGGTGAGAATGCAACTGTAGTAAGACAGCTAGTTAGGATTTAGCCAAATGACTCGTTTTGGAGGAAGGGCAGGAATTTAAGTGAAAGACTGAATGTGTTGCCTGCCATCCCATCCCAACTCTGTTTGTCTCTTTGTGGATGTGCCAAAGCTTTTACAGGCCCAGGACTGTGAGTTTACTACCAGTGCCCAATTCAGGAGTGGTTTTACTCATATGAACAAGGCATCCTGCTCGTCAGAGCCACAGTCAAGACCATGAGTCCAATTGTTTGTTTAGTTTAAACCCAGATCTCTTTGATGTTTGAGGCAAGACCATCAGACTCTTCCACCAAATAGTCCACCAAGAGGGAACGCCACTATAGAAAGCCAAACAATAGAGACAATATACCATAGAACATTTAGTTGAACTACAAAGAACTACCATGGCTAAAAGCAAATACAAAATGAGAGACTAGAGGGAAAAAGTTTAAATTGGGAAAATGAAGGGGCCAACTAAATAGTCTTGACTGTGCAACCACTGCATGGAGATGTAGTCCAGTTTCCCTTCGGGACAAACAGGGGAGGCTGAGCAGGGCAGAACCCTTGTCATCCTTAGCCAAACATGAGGAAATAGCTTAAAGGAACAGAGGGGTCACTTTGAAGAACAAGACTGTCATTGAACAATAGTAATACAGTAAAGGCACCACCCACGCTTAGTTTCAGTCTGAAGCAGTTGAAGATAGGCAAAACATTTAGGTGAAGAAAAAATCCTGACAGTCTGCAAAGTGAGACTTGTTACCATCTGCCCGAAAACAGGAGGACTGAGAGGGAATATTCTGATGCCCTTATTCCCCCAGCAGCTTTCTGTGTCATATGATATGTCTCTTCTTATTTTGGAGGTTCCCAAAAATTTCAAATCAAACGAAGTAAACTGAAATGAAATCTTCTGCTGTTTGTTATCATCCTGCAGAATTCTCTACCGGCCACAAAGGTCCCATATGCTCTTAATCATAACAGTCTTCATAAATTCCTTGTGAAAGTGTCTTTGTCCCTTATTGTATATATATTTTTTTGCGTTCTCTATAGGATGGTGTGAAAGTACAATAATAGATGTTAGGGATTGTACCAAGATGTTTGCTCTTGGTTTTTCACAGGTCTAGGGATTATTAATAGGTTTTGTACAAAATTCCTCTCTGAAATGATATAATACAGTATATTGTTCTCTCTCTCTTCCTCTGTCTCAAGGCAGGAACATAGTGTAAATGTTTAAGCAGACATAAAGTTTCTCTAGATTGTGCTACTTCTCATCATGGATTTTAGTTTCAAGTAAAAAAATTTAGTCACAAGGGTTTGTGTTCCACTGTGAAATACAAATGGAGTTTATAATTCAACCTTCAGTGTGTATTGCTGAATGGTATTAACCCACTCTTCGGCCTACCGTTGGCTGGATACCAAGAGTGTCCAGGTGGAAGTTCCTTCCTTCCGTTTTCTTTTTTTTTTTTTTTTAATTTTCTTTTTTTTGAATTTTATATTTTTAAATTTCTTTTTTTTGCCTTCCGGTTGAGTGTTTGTGTTGTGTGTGTGTGTGTGTATTTGCGTGTGGTTTTTAAAGGATTTCATTAAAAAAAGAAAAAAAAAAAGAAGAAAGAAAAGAAAGAAAGAAAACAAACTCAAACAGTTACTTCTGTCTTGCTGTTGGTTATGAAGTATGGCTGTGGGCCCAAGTAGTGCTGGCTGCGGGTTGTCAGCGGGTCACTTAACGTCGGGTCTCCCATGCCGTGCTTGCCCTTGTTTGCGTACGCTTGCCGCCTCAGGGAGTGGTCGGTGGGATCCCAGGTCTTGTAGTGGGAATTGTAGCCCAGCGGGTGCGTGTGTATCTTGCCCATCCTGGATTTCTGCCCGTTCTGCCTGGTGAGCCCGCTGTCGATGGTGTACGCCCGCTCGTCGTCCAGGCGCACGGGGTGCAGGGGCAGGCTGCCCTTGGCAGCCAGCTCGGCCAGGTGCCGGCGCTTGGTGTAGAAGTCGTCGTTGACTTTGTCGGCTATTTGGGTTGAGAAGGGGGAGAGACAAAAAACCCCAGAGATCAGTTGGACACAATAAAAATGTTGAACAGTTTAGAGTAGGTCATGCACAGTCCCATCTACGGGTCAGAACAGTTCCAGGTACATCAGGAGGAGAAAGTCATACCGCCTGCCAGCCCTCCATTATTAAGGCTTTTCATATATGCAGACAAAACCCTGTTGCCCTGTAACAAAAGACTGTCTCTGCCCCCAAACACACAGGCTGTGCTGATGTTTACATTATGGGAGGAGGTCCTCTGGCATAGGAAATTGGGGAAGTGGACAGGAGTACACAGGCTTTCTTGGAAGCATTGCGGCATCTTGCGTTGCACTGTTGTGTGAGAGCACATCCCTTTACATGCAAAGGGTCGTGTGGGTGTTTAACCAAGCCAGGTTTCAGGTCTGGTCCTGTGTGATGAGGGGGACCTGTTTTTGTGGAATAATGCCTTAGGGCAAAATTAAGAATGGGATCTGTTCTTATAAATGGTTGGAAGGTCACTAATGCTTTATGAGGCTGAAAATACTTCGGGTTGTTGAAGGTTGGGTATTTACCCTGTAATTTTACAGACCATGAAAATCCTAAATTCCAGGTTCTGACATCATTTTCTGCGGTCAGTGCCACTAAGAAATACAGCGACAGCCCTGCCAACAAATACTGCATTGCAGTTCTCAAATCAGGATTTTGCCCTCTGCAGTTTCCTAGACAAGTGTCTTCCAGTGCACGCGTTTGCTCAAGTTTGATTGTTGTTATTGCTGGCATTTGTTTGGCCTTGCTTGAAAGTATGAACCCTGCTCAGGAAGCTTAAGGCATTCTGCAGCAGTCCAGCAACTCATTTCAGTTTTGGGACCGAGTTTCAGGGGTTTAAGGGGAGATTAACTGAATTTCGTTTTTTAAGATCTTGCCTTTTATGTAAAGAGGGTTTATTTTTGCCCTTGAAAAATTTAGATGTTTATTTAAGATAGTGCCAAGTGCGTAGATCGGCTCGCACGGTGCTGAGTTAATCAGCAGTGGTGTGCTTTGTGCTTTGAATATCTGATTGTGGCAGCCTGGATTTGACTTCTGCTGTGCCCTGGTAGATCCATCATTTTCCTTGAAGCTATGCCATGTAAGGCTTCTCTGCAGAAGTCTTGTACATGTAGCTGTCTGTGCAGCTCAGCTCCTATTGCCTTCATGAGTAGGTTTTAAATTCCCTGCACTGTTTTTTGTTTAGCTTCCCTCTTTTTTTCTCTCCCCAGTATTCCTAGGAGGCTTTTGTTGCACTTTGAATTTTCTCCTTCTCTCTAGTTCTGAACTAGATCTTTATGCAAGGAGGGGAAATTCCCATGAGCACCAGATTAATCTTCAAGATCAGATTTCAGTTCTGCCTCCTCCTTGTCCTGGCCCCTCAACAGGGAGGAGTATTACCAAATGCAGGTGCTATTGATCATCTCATGACAGTTTTTGTATGATGGCTGTGCAACTGGACTTTGCTCTTAAATCCTTAATTTCATCATTAAAGAGGTGTTTCTTCTTCAATGAACTGAAATTGCTCTTAGCTGTGCTGTAAAGGTGGGCTTTGTGTGTTTTACCCACTTCCATCTGTTTCCTTTTTTAATAGTAGAGTGAATGTTTTTCTATGGCATACAGGTGTGTTCTGCTTTAAACACTTTGTTCATATTCACTGAATGCCACAGAACCACAGGTTGAATAAAAAGGGGAGGGAAAGGGGTTTGCATTGCTAATTTCTCATTAATCTGTTATCAATAATTGAGAAAAATGGTTGCAGAAAAGGCATTGTGAATATTCACACAAGTATTTATTTTTGTATATTTTTACATCAAAGGCACTGCCAGTGAGCTGGTTAGGGGTGCAGATTTCTCTGTCATATGACTTAGACTTTGTCTACGTATGAAAAGTCACACTAGTTTATGTAATTTAAATTCTGCACAATTAATTATGTCCAGCTTTTAATATAGATACATTTGTATGCCTGTTTCTCATTTAGATAGCTTAATTTGCATACAAAAATTAGAAACCAAGCTAATCTCACATAAGATTAAATTTGTGAATTTGTACTTTTAATTTGTAGTTTTATCTTAGTTATGCTGCAGCAGTTTGTCTTACACAGCCGAGATCTTTAATCAGTTACAAGGTAAATAATGGCTTCTGTTTAGAGAGTAGCAGTAGTGATTAAGTTATGTAAATAATGACCAAAAATTGCAGATATTTGCATTGCCTGATTTTTTATGCTGTTCTTCACATTTGCATGGCTAAATTAAAAAGGCCAAAACAAGCTCAAGCCATTTCCTCAGTTTCTTTTAATTTTTCCTCCCCTGGACCTTTTCTGGGTCTCTGAATTTTGGTCCTTGCATTAGACATGGCACTCAGATCCCCAGTCACATCCAGGCTGATGTCCTGCAGAAGAGACAATTGTATCACTGCTGCATATAAAGAACACCCCCACTGGTAAAACCAAGGGAGGAAAAAATCAGCCTCACAAGGTCTGTGCCTGTGACACATCTAAATCAATTTTGCCCTTGTGTATATTGCCATGTTATTATGTAAAATTTTCAACTCTGTTTCTTATGGAAGATCATAAAGAAAGTGAAATGATTAATTCTGTAAATGTGGGTACATTAAAGTTATTTTAACTAATATAGCCCCTAGGGACTATATAGTCCCTTTCTGGGGCCTTCCCAACTATTGTCTGCCAACCAGGCTGAAGAGAACATGCCAGAATTGGATCTGGAAATCCTCATCAGCAAAGTCAAGCAGAAACGTGGCAAACAGATGCCCAAGGGCTGATTGCATGGGTTTGATGTGGCACTGCCAGTGTGGGAGAGCTGCTTTTTGTGTTTGTCCTCATCAAATAATGGTTTGCAGGGGTTTGCCTGAGAATTTGACATTTGCCCAGGCAGTGCTAGCAGTGGAAGCCAACCTCTGCCTAAAGATTTAGCCTCCCCAAAACTATTTTCTTTCAGCTTGCACATGGATGGGGGACAATACCACTGTAGCAAAACCAGCATTGATCAAACCAAATTGGTGAGTTGTTCCAAAGGGCTTTTGGCAAGTCTTATAGCAATCCTCATTCTTCCACCCTGACTGCATCACAGGTTTTATAATAGCAGTGTGCTGTGCCTCAGTGTGAGGGACCTGATGCTACTAGTGCAGAAACAGGTTTTTTTACTTCTCATTTTCAAAGCACAAAATATTCAGAAGAGTAATACTCAGCATGGTGTTGTAACAAATGTTTTACCAAGGAAAGTATAATAATAGTATCCTGATGCCAACTACTTTAAAAATCAACTGTGAATCTGAGGGAGTTTGTTTTTCTTCTTAAGCAGACCCTATAAATATTTCATGGACTTTAAACATCCAAAGAGATGTTTTGGAGTTAGAGGATGCATTTATTATGTGACCTTAGGTACATGACTCAACTTCCCTCTGCCTTGGTTTCACCTGCTGTAAAAGGAGCTGTTAGCACATGGGAGGAGGTTGTTGTGTTATGAGGTTGAATTGCTATTTGTAGAGTACAGTGAGATTTTGGATGAAAGGTGCTATAGAAGTGCCTTTTGCATTGGCTTCTGTTTGTCGATCAGTAAAAAGTATTTATAGATATCACTTGTGTTTGCAAAAGGAGTGAAGAACTAGAATTGCAACATTTGCCAAATAAACAATAGTAGAAGAAAGGCCTTAATTCAGAGCATTATTATTTGTGTCCCTTCCTCCTGGTAGCTAATGATAAAAATGTTCTCACTTGCAATATTTCTTTGAGGTTTTTGCTTTAAGATAATGCACCCACAATTTTTGTTACTTTTGTAGCTGTTCATCTGAAAAAAATGTTGAAATATGAATTTTTTCCAAGTGCCTGGGAGGGGAGAGAACTTGGGCATTTGTTCCTGCTGTTCATGAAATGAGTAACTGAGAAAATACAGACATAGTGTCAGGATCAAAAGCAGGACTTCACCTTCCCAACTGAATATTTCAACTATTAAGCTGAAGAGATGCTTTCTGTTCCTTTGTCTTTCTTGACTAGTAAATCTTCTTTCTGCTTCACAGTGTGAGTTCATCAGGATGTGAGTCTGGGTGGGGACCATCTCAGCAGAAGCTGGGATGCATCTTACTGGGGAGGGAATTCAGATTTGGATCCCCCTCAGAGCAGCTGTACACCTGTGAGCTCCCCATCCCAAAGGCAGGTCACTCCACTCCTCACTCCTATGAATCCAGCAATGCCTTTGAGAGAGTGACCAGGACTTATTTTGACCTTGACTTTGCTGGTACTGGGGTCAAATGTCTCAGACTGGGACTCTTGCCTTTTTCCTTGAATTTTGATTTTGAAAGGAGATGGCTACCAAGCTCCTTGGGATAGCAAGATCATGGAAATTCCCAGGAAAACCACACTGACTTTAGGCTCATTTAGATGAAGTGACTAGAAAGAAATAGGCTTTTGTGACTGTAATGTGTGTTTTTCTGGAAGTTTCACCTTCCTGCCTAAATCTGTCACTAACAGAGACAAGCTTTTTTTCCTTCTGTGACCAAACTTGAAAGTTTCACATATTTCTTCGTAATCCACAGTTCTATAATGAAAGCATGTAAACCAGTGAGACTCTTATGGAGTAAATACCAGAGATGAAAATATGTTTTCTTGAATACCGGTGGCAAAACCTCTTGTAGCTGTCACAAGACCAGAATTTCTCAGTGTGCTTATCTGAGTTATCTGTGGTGTGAGGAGATCCTAAAGCTGTGTAATGTTCTGTTCCCCAGCTTAAGTAATCTTCAGGGTCACCATGTAACCACTTGTGGCACAGAGTCAGGTAGACATGCATTAGCATTGTGCAAGGCTTTCTTTTTCTTGTAAAATATTGCAGGGTTTTTAACTCTCTTCCTCCTTGACAATGCTCTTATCTTTGTGGGCCCATAAAATGGCTCTGAATACTTGCACCACGTCTCACAGCTATTGGAGAAATACGGTCTCCTCAAAGACAATTCTGTCCCACAGCT